CCCAAACACTTGGCCATACCCTGCTGCCTTCCCAGGTCATTAGCAGGGAGCTGGGTTGGAAGTGGAACAGCTGGGACACGAACCAGCATCCATATGGGATGCTGGCATCGCAGGCAGTGGTTTTACCCTCTATGCTACAGCGCCAGCCCCAAGCTTGCTGTCTGAAGAACAAGAAAATAAACTCCAGCTATTTCTCTTTTTCCTTTAGCTGTTGTAGTTGTATATATCCACAACAGTGATTATATTACTGTTAGTCTACATCATCACTCATACTGTTCTTTTCCTTTTTTTAAATCTTGGATTAATGTGATACTGCTATGGTTTCACGGAGTACAGCGTGATATTTCAACATATGTGTATAGCATGCACTGATCCAGTGAGGTAGTTAGCATTTCCATTTCCTTATCATTTTAAAATATTTGAAGCTTGAAGTTCCTCTCTTCTAGTTCATCATAAAATGTTTAATATACTAGTGTATGCTATAGTTGCTCCATTTGCATCCTATTTGATTGTGTTTTAGTCTCCATTATTCAGTCTCCATGTTGCCCCTTCCCACCCTGCCTGGCCTCTAGTAATCACTATTCTACACTGAGACCAATTTTTAAAACTTACACATATGAAAGAGAACATGTAATATTTGTTTTGTGGCTTCTGGCTTAGTGTTACCCATATTACAGCTAATTTATCTTTCTGTGATTCAATCTACCCTTGGTTTCATACAATCATAGAGTTTTATTTTATTTTAAAGATTTATTTATTTATTTGATTGGCAGCATGAGAGAGGGGGAAGAGAGAGAGAGAGAGAGAGAGAGAGAGAGAGAGAGGGAGAGAAAGAGAGAGAGAATCTTCCATCTGCTTATTCACTCCCCAGATAACTACAACAGCCAGAGCTGGGCCAGGCCAAAGCAAAGAGACTGGAACTACTTCTAGGTCTCACATGTGGGTGCAGGCTGCTTTCTCAGGGCATTAGCAGGGAGCTGGATCAGAATCAGAGCAGCCTAGACTCAAACCCTCACCCATTTGGAATGCTGGTGTCACAGGTAGCGGCTTAACCAGCTAAGCCATAATGCCAGCCCCAAATCATAGAGTTTTAGAGCTGGAATATTCATCAAAAGTCTAGCTTAATCACCTCATGTTTCTAGGAAGAAGTTGCATGGATAAAGTTTGAAGAACTTTTTTCAGTATCACACATGTTTTGGTGGCTGAAATACAACACGAACACAGTCTCGATTACTGTTCAGTATTATTTCCAGCTACTACTAAAACTGTAAGAAGAGTCTCATAAATATCCCACACCTTCTGAAATTCAGTTATATGTGAAGACTTTGGGGTAAGAGCATATAAAATAAACATGTGTGTACGTGAGTCCCTATGAAATGTTTCTGAGTTATAAAGACACAACAAAGGCCTTAAATTAATGACTGTTCATGTGCTTGTGTAGCCCACTGTTGAGAAAATATCTTTTGGAATTCAAGTTCTCTAATATGGATCTTACTGAGGTAGGATGCCCTCTAGAAAAAACTTCATATATCTTTGTGTTTTCTAAAAATCTAGTGGCTTCCTGCTACACTTACTCACAGTCTCACTTCTCCATCTGACCTCAGTATCCATTTCACAGTGTGTCTTTTGCTTTCTGGTTAGCTCAGTAAGGCTAATACACAATATCTTCACCATTTTCCCCATCATCAGTGAGTTTGAAAAGCTCAAGTACACTCCTTCTCCAAAGAAGGTTTTCAAAAAGCATTACTTGAAGTTTATTTATGATCATTTTCCCTTTTTATCAGTTTTTTCCTTACGCATCTCTTAGCTGTTCAATCCATAAAGATGCTCTTCTATCCTCTTAAAGATTCAAAGATTTAAATCTTATTTCTTTTGCAGCCTCCCTTCCTTTCATTTTCCTAATCTCTTAGTTTCAGCTTAATCCTACTTGATGTTATTGAAGTCAATTCTGAAAGTATTTCTTTCAGTTGTGAACTTGTTTTTGGTTTACCAAGAATGGCGAGGCTCAGTGACTTCACTTCTGGGAGAAACAAGGTTTTTTTTTTTTTTTTTTTTTTTTTCACATCTTCATCTAAGGAAAGAAACTGGATGGTAGATATAGATTATGGTTAATTTTTTGAAGCCTTGTGTATGAGTGCAACTCAGTCTCTCTTGAGTCATTTAATCTCATTATTTCAGTATATGACAACCACCCTAGGTTCCTCAAAATTGTAAAATAACATTCTCCAGGTAGCTAGTCAGGTATTAGCTAACTAGGTACATGGATGTGTACTATGGTTAGTAATACAGAATGTTTGTATAGATTCTTGTTTTTCCCTCAACACCTTGGTTCCCTTTAGGAGTTCATAGTTCATTCACCTACAGGGAGGGCCTCTGTACGCCTAGGTATTTCCATAGTCATCCCTAGATACTACTTCCCTGTAGATTAAGCAAAGAATGGGAATTAACTGTATGTTGCTGAAAGAGGAGCAGGCAAGACAGGGTAGGTAGACACAAAATGAAGTAAAACCTCCTTAAACAATTTTTCTAGTTGCTCTCTGAGTAAGAACTGGTTTGGAATAGATACTCCTAAATGCAGCCTTGGAAAAGAGTGCTCTCACGCCATCTCCGTGGATGACTGAGCTCCCCTAAGCGTTATCTGCATGCATAATGTCATGCTTTAGACTTTCTTTGCACAATTCTCAGCCTTTCTTAGAGTATGACAGGTGTATCCAAATATATACCAGTAAATTTGCTTGGTAATAAAGGCCTGAAGTGTTGCTGGATAAATATGATCTGAGACAGACAACATGAAGAATTTTTAAAAATATTGCCATTATGAATTTCAAATTCCAGCTTAAATTGGTATGATGACCATAGCAAAATTTAATCCACTGCCAGTCATATCTATGAAATATTTTGTAAACAAGCAATTCATTTCTCCAAATAGCTATTGCTATATCTTTTTTTTTTATTTTTTTTTTTTATTTTTTGACAGGCAGAGTGGACAGTGAGAGAGAGAGAGAGAGAGAAAGGTCTTCCTTTGCCGTTGGTTCACCCTCCAATGGCCGCCGCGGCCAGCGCGCTGCGACCGGCGCACCGCGCTGATCCGATGGCAGGAGCCAGGAGCCAGGTGCTTTTCCTGGTCTCCCATGGGGTGCAGGGCCCAAGCACCTGGGCCATCTTCCACTGCACTCCCTGGCCACAGCAGAGGGCTGGCCTGGAAGAGGGGCAACCGGGACAGAATCCGGCGCCCCGACCGGGACTAGAACCCGGTGTGCCGGCGCCGCTAGGCGGAGGATTAGCCTAGTGAGCTGCGGCGCCGGCCTTCCAAATAGCTATTGCTATATCTTTATTTTGAGTCAATTATGTTCCATCCATCCATGGTAAGAAATTCTATATATAGAATGCCTATAATGATTCATTTATATTTTATTTACTTACTGCTTTTTTAATTACTTATTATCTGTGTGTGTTTTTAGATTGAAAGTTCTGTGAGGCAGAAACTGAAACTTCCTTGTTCATTTGTGTAATCTCAGCAGTGAGTACGTGGCACACACTCCCTAAATATTTGTTGAATATACAGTTGAATAATTGATAGGAGTGACCCAGAGTTGTCTATTTTGAGACAGAGCTTTCAACAGTGTATGTAGAACTTTTGACAAGTATTTGATTGCAAATGCTGGCAAAAGTCAGAATCATTATATGTTTTATGATATTAATGGCATGGTTTCACGTGTGTATATGTGTGCATGTGTATGTGTAGTGTTATAAAAATTGCTAGTTGTGGAATAGGGGATTTGGTTGTCTCTCTTATAATTGGATTCGAGTGCTCCAATAAAATATTGGGTTTCAGCTTGGTGGTTGTGTGGAGTGGAGGAGAGAGTCATTTACTAAGGAATGAAGAAAGTTGAGTGCTCTATTTCTTTCCTAAAAAAATACGAATAGGCTTGATCATTGATGTAAAGTATTTATCATTAATTCCTAAGTTGATGACACTTCTAAAACACTGATGCATAAAAGGAAACTTCTTTGATTTTTTTTTTTTGTGGTAAAATGACCTTTACATTACACAACACATGAAGTGTGATTGTCTTTCCAAGACATCAACACTCCTTCACCGCTTTTTTTCTAGACTAGTGCCATTTTTTACTTCTTTCATGGATGGGGACAGGCTGGAACAGGGTAAGAAAGTGTGACTTGTGTGATGATAACCAGAATTGCTGTTGACCACAAAATTTTTAAAAAAGCGCTTAGGGACTTGTAATAGTATTTATTGCTTTGAGATGTTCATCTTGTTTCAACAACAGGAGAGCAATTATTTAATTAAGAATAAATAATCTAATAACTTCTACCTTTTTAAAAATATACATAATAGCAAGATATCCAAAAGAACTCATATGATTATGAGTAATCACGATGTTTCAAATGACTTCAGTGGCATTCAACTGTCAAAAACTTGTAGTTTACTTACTAGTTAGTCAATGAAAATGAGTTAGTGTGCTGTGGGTTTACATTTATGCACTGTGTTATTAGCTATGAAGACAATAGGCTGTATCCTCCTTGCTTTCTTGAGTCATAGGAAATGCATCATCTGGGTAACGAAATTTTAAAGAAATTAGAGGATTTAAGTTTGACAACATTTGTGTTTCTTTTGATAAAATCTAAACTGAATTTTAAACTTACACATCTTTTACTAAATATGATTAATTAGTTCACTGAAGTCCACACCTGGTGGATAGAGCTGGTCACAGTAAGAAAAACTCGCATTGTTCTTGGCCCTGCATTGTTTTGTATTGGAGCTGCTTACCTCATTTTGAGATTTAAACTCTATCAATTTTGGTTATAGAAAAAAAAAAAGTCCATTAGCTCTATGGAAAGCCCTGGGATCTATTTTGTGTTCTGTGATAATGTATAATATATTTCTCTAAAAAACTAGAAAAAAGATTTTTAATGGTTTTAACAATAAAGAAATGTTAACACTTTGGAGAGATGGGTATGTTACCCAGATTGGACAAACACATTTCATCATGTATTGAAACACGACATGGTTTATATATAAATATAAACCATAAATATATATATAATTTTTCTGTGTCAGTTAAAAACAAAAAGAGAAAAATATGGCTAGATCAGACTACATTATATTAGATTACAACTTATATTTTCAAATTGGCAAGATTTCCCAACAAAAAATGTCTAGAGAGAAATAGACTGTTTCTTCCATTATAAGTTTGAAATTTGGATAAATTCAGAAGTAGCTGCATGTTCTATCACTAAGGTAGATGTCTGGCGGAAGAATTAATGCACTACTTAGGGTCTTAAAAATAGAATCTTAGAACAATAACAAACAGATTTGTTCTTTGGATAAGTTACACAGTTCATGTGGTTTTAATTTAGAAGATCATTTTTACTCCCTATTTTTGTTTTTTTTTTTTTTTTTCAGCTATAAAATTGGACAGCCAAAAATATCCTCATGCAGCTTCTTAATGACAGAGGACATGTGAAATTTTTGAAAATCTTGATGTAACTATTTCAATGTTATTTGTAGAAACTATAACTTCTTTATTTTTCATAGGGACAATATGAAAAAGTTAATTGAAGAAATGGAACCTGCAAATTACACCAGAGTGACAGAATTTATTCTCACTGGCCTATCCCAGACTCGGGAAGTGCAACTAGTGCTTTTTGTTATATTTCTATCTTTCTATTTGTTCATTCTCCCAGGGAATATCCTTATCATTTGCACCATCAGGCTCGACCCCCACCTCACCTCTCCCATGTATTTCCTGCTGGCAAATCTGGCCTTTCTCGATATATGGTACTCCTCCATCACAGCCCCTAAAATGCTGGTAGACTTCTTTGTGGAGAGGAAGATCATTTCTTTTGGGGGGTGCATTGCACAGCTCTTCTTCTTGCATTTTGTTGGGGCCTCGGAGATGTTCCTGCTCACAGTGATGGCCTTTGACCGTTATGCTGCCATTTGCCGCCCTCTCCACTACGCCACCATCATGAACCGACGACTCTGTTGCATCCTGGTGGCTCTCTCCTGGATGGGGGGCTTCATTCATTCCATAATACAGGTGGCTCTCATTGTTCGACTGCCCTTCTGTGGGCCAAATGAGTTAGACAGTTACTTCTGTGACATCACACAGGTTGTCCGCATTGCCTGTGCCGACACCTTCCCGGAGGAGTTAGTAATGATCTTTAGCAGTGGTCTGATCTCCGTGGTGTGTTTTATCGCTCTGTTAATGTCCTATGCCTTTCTTCTGGCCATGCTCAAGAAACACTCGGGCTCAGGTGAGAGTACCAACAGGGCAGTGTCCACCTGCTATTCCCATATCACCATTGTGGTGCTAATGTTTGGGCCATCCATCTACATCTATGCGCGTCCATTTGATGCCTTTTCCCTAGATAAAGTAGTTTCTGTGTTCCATACTGTGATATTCCCTCTACTTAATCCCATCATCTACACACTGAGAAACAAGGAAGTAAAGACAGCCATGAGGAAGTTGGTTAACAGATATATTTTATGTAGAGAGAAGTGAGAGATCAATGGTACACTTTACAGTCTTCCTGAGGACCAGTGTTCTGAAGTGGAAAGCGTTTCCATGATGCTGCTTCCACTTGTCCTTCCATGTGCGTGCCTCGACTTTCAGTATGATTTTCATCCATTCCTCTTTATGGTGAAATTACAAAGACATTAAGATAGAAATAAGTTTACTTATATATACCCTGAAATATCTAGTAGATCATTACTGGGATTTGAGTTATATTAATGCTCAGATAAAATCCATGTCTTCACTAATTGTTGAGTGAGTACCATGGAGAAATTCTGGCTGGGAGAAGATTGTGGGTTGAGAAATAATAAAACAGATAAGCAGCCCTGGGAGATACAACCACATGAATGGGTATTGGAGAAGCACGTGGCCAACATAGGAATGTAATTAGCTCCAAGTTAGCCAAGTATTCTTATTGTACTTCAACATTGGTCCAGTGGGACGGTGTTAGGCCGATCATTTTCCTGGACCTGGAAAAATATACATCTGTTTTCTCTTTTAATTCTTCCTCTTCCCTGAGCTGATGGAAATGGAGGATTCATTTATACCAGTTGTTTCAACTCATATCTCAGGTGGTAGCTACTCAACAGTATTGGTGGCAGAACTCACAACTTTACCATACTCAGGAAATAACTTTTATGAATTCAAAATAGAGTGTAGTTTGGTGGCTATGTGAGATTCCACTCATTCCACTGAAGCCTCCTGAAAATTAAGTTTTTATGGTCAGTCTCCACAAAATATTTAGGGTGAAAGCAGCTTTAGGAGAAAGGATTCTAATTTGGCTGGGATTGATAAATATCTAGAGTGTGATTTTAAAAAAATAATAATTTCTTTTGACATATTTCTGTTTTCTGTATTTCTTAATTCTGTCTCTCATGTTCAATTAGTAGAGTATTCTTTCTGTTAGCACTATAATTTGGAAATCTTTACCATTAAGCTATTTAAAATTATTAATTAATTAGAGAGGGAGTAGAGAAAAAAAGAGATAGAGCACTTTTATCCAGTGACTCACTCCTCAAATGCTCATAACAGCCATGATTCAGCTAGATGGAAGCTGGGAGCTGGAAACTCAATCCAGGTCTCCCACTTTGAGTGTCAAGAACCCAATTATTTGAGCCATCACTTTGCCTCCTAGGTCTGCTTTGTTTCTATTTTTTATTTATTTGACAGGCAGAGTGGACAGTGAGAGAGAGAGAGACAGAGAGAAAGTTCTTCCTTTTGCCATTGGTTCACCCTCCAATGGCCGCAGCAGCTGGTGTGCTGTGGCTGGCGCAGCGCGCTGATCTGAAGGGAGGAGCCAGGTGCTTCTCCTGGTCTCCCATGGGGTGCAGGGACCAAACACTTGGGCCATCCTCCACTGCACTCCTGGGCCACAGCAGAGAGCTGGCCTGGAAGAGGAGCAACCGGGACAGAATCCGGCACCCCAGCTGGGACTAGAACCCGGTGTGCTGGCGCCACAGGTGGAAGATTAGCCTAGTGAGCTGTGGCGCCGGTCCTCCTAGGTCTGCTTTGGCAGGAAGCTAGAGTCAGGAGCTGGAGCAGGGTAGTGGCCCTAGATACACCAAATGGGATGTAGGTGTCTTAACTAGCTTATTCCTTCACATAAAAGAAATCAATTCAGTACATGAAAGGTAGACTAGAGGATTTTAGTTCATTGGATATTATTTATTTACTTAAATTTCAGTTTTAATTTCTCAAAACTAGAGTCTCTCCATGGAAGAGCAAGAACCCTTTCTGTGCATTGAAATTTATTCTTTTATTTTATTCAATGTAAATGACTAGGCTTTGAGGGAAATACATTTCCGTCAGCATCAGGGATGAATATATATGAGTGATACAAAAAAAACAGAGTTACTATTTATCTACAGAGATTTTATTTATTAATTGAGAATATATTTTGTGCCAGACCCAGTGCACCTACCTCAGGTACACAGTTAGCAGTGGTGATACATTAAGTTTGTCCTTTGCTTTGGGAATTTCTCCCTAGGATGATCTCTGTCTTCAGTGCTAGATGAAGCATGGATCGGAGCTATGATTCCAGAATTTTGAGTTGAATTCTCAACATTTGGAAATGAATAAAACAATAGACATCATTAACGTTTGCAATAAAAATTACATGGAAAACCCTGTAAAATACAGAAGCTGTACATATACATAATAAAGCAATGAGTTGTGTTTCTAGATTACATATTACCTTATTGCCATTTCTCTACATCTGAACCCATAAGGTTTCTGTTTGTTCTGTATTTATCCCTCATCTAACTTGGATTCATGTTCTTGAGAAAGAGACCACTGTCTCGGTTTTTTTAAACACTGATATTCTTCTATCACAGATGGGTATTTGTTGAACATATTGAGGCTAGCAATGACAGGAAAAAATCCTCAAAACAGTAGTATGATGAACAATTACTTACAAGTACAACCTGAAATTAGAAATTAATCTTAACGAAGAAGTGGGGGAGCTTTTAGTAAACCACTAAGCAGTACCCCAGCCAAGTTTATGGGGGAAAGGATTGGGAAAAGGACCAGGGGCAATTTCACCCCTCAGGGCATTGTGATCACAATGTGGGGCCTGCTATTGATTAGCATCTTGTACTGCTAAACACTTTACAAGGCAAAGAGTATCTCTTCCCCTTCCACACAGTCTGAGACCCCAAAGGTCACCGGTGCCATGACTGAGAAACTCTGACTTCTTGGAGAGTGAGCAATGATAAGGCAGGCTCTGTAGGGGAAGGAGGTACAAACAACCTCATGTAAAGTCTGGTCACATGCAGTTCATCCTTCAGAAATCCTGGTACCCTTAGCAGAGAAACACTAACTGTACCCAGGACTCTTTCATGAGTCACTTTTCCCTATTTCCTCTTAGTGACTTCTCAATGTCTTTTGCTCTCCTTCTGCCTTTCAAGCTCTCCTATTTCTTCTTCCTTTCAAAACCACTGTTGAGTATCTATTTTCTTTTTTTTTTAAGGTTTATTTATTTATTTGAAAGTCAGAGTTTCACAGAGAGAGGAGAGACAGAGAGAGAGAGAGAGAGGTCTTCCATCTGATGGTTCACTCCCCAATTGGCTGCAACAGCCGGAGCTGCGCCAATCCGAAGCCAGGAGCCAGGAGCTTCTTCTGAGTCTCCCGCATGGGTGCAGGGGCCCATGGACTTGGGCTATCTTCTACTGCTTTCCCAGGCCATAGCAGAGAGCTGGATTGGAAGTGGTGCAGCCGGGTCTCGAACCGACGCCCATGTGGGATGCTGGCGTTTCAGGCCAGGGTGTTAACCCACTGTGCCACAGTACCGGCCCCTTTGAGTATCTATTTTCAAAGCCAGCAGTATCTGGGTTGAGTAAATGAATGTCTTTAGCTCAAGATCATTGCTAAACTTTCAAATACACACTGACGTGTCAGTTTCAGAACCCAAGTTCCATTCATCTTGTGACTTTCTGCTAATTTCAGCATTGACAAGATGGATTTTACTAGAACATCTAATTTAAAAATTCCAGCTTTATTGTCTAAAAATTAAAATTCTCCTATTTTTAAATACACAAATAATATGTATTGCTTAAAAGTTAAAAGTGTGGAAGCCTATAATGCAAAAAGGAAATATCACTGGTAATTGTTTCTTTCAGGCTTTGGGGTTTTCCATTAGGTTTACAATGTTTCACCTACCCAGTTTCATTGGAAGCAGGATGCTTGGCCTCTTAGCTATTGCTCTGTAATATAATTAACTATCACTAAGTTTTTTGAAGCAGGTCGGGACGGAGCAAGAGGTACACAATTCTTCAGGCCACTAAGTGTGACATTAGGAATTTATATCCAGCAAAATGGGAATTTAAATGAAAAGGAGAGAAGTTTAAACATGAAACAAAAATATGAACATGCTGCTTCCAGGAACTCTTTTGAAGAGTTCACAGAACAAACTAGTCAATGATGTGAAGACAAAGAAACTGAGACAGAAGGCTGGGTATGATATCTGAGATATATTTAATATAATATTGAGTTTAGTAATCTACAAAATCTGTATTAAATATATAAAATCCAAAATGACTAAGTAATGTGGAGATTTACATGGTAGAGTTGTAACCTTTGAGACAAGGCAGAAACTCTAGACTATACTTCCATCCAGTGGCATATTAGATAGTTCACTGGCTCATTAAAAATAATACATTTGTTGGCTAAAAATACTTTTAAAATCTAGCACAAAAATCCAAAACCATATAGAATATCGAGAGTCTAAAAATCAAATAAAATTGGGAGCCCAGACAATAAATGCCAGAAATTACTGAAAAGACTTGTGTTCCATTTTCAAGGTCACAAGAGCTGGTTATGGGGGCAAAGATGAATAATGGGAGAGAAATCCCAGAGCTCATCTTATAACGTATGCACCCAAAAATATAATGCACAACTAGATGAGGTCAAAAATTAGGAAAAACCAGAGAGAAATAGCAACCTAGAGAGAGTATAGAGTTGATGAAATGAACAGTGCAGGGGAGAACTGAAATGGGATGATAAAGACGCAAGAGCGGTCAAGAGACATTTGTAGCATGATGAAAAGGTCTAATACAAATCTCATCAGTTTCAAATAAATGGATCAATAACATATAGGTGAGGTAATATTGAAGAGACAATGCAGATTTTTTTAATTAATTGATTTTTTTTTTATTTTTTGACAGGCAGAGTGGACAGAGAGAGAGAGAGACAGAGAGAAAGGTCTTCCTTTGCCGTTGGTTCACCCTCCAATGGCCGCCGCGGCCAGCGCGCTGCGGCCGGCGCACCGCGCTGATCCGATGGCAGGAGCCAGGAGCCAGGTGCTTTTCCTGGTCTCCCATGGGGTGCAGGGCCCAAGCACCTGGGCCATCCTCCACTGCACTCCCTGGCCACAGCAGAGAGCTGGCCTGGAAGAGGGGCAACCAGGACAGAATCCGGCGCCCCGACCGGGACTAGAACCCGGTGTGCCGGCGCCACTAGGCGGAGGATTAGCCTAGTGAGCCGCAGCGCCGGCCGACAATGCAGATATTTTTAGAAAACTAATAAAGCACACCAATGTCCCTACTCAGGAATATCACTCAAATATTAAATGGATACATTAAAAAACACATACTTTCAGACACCTCACGGGGAAGTGCAGGTCAAAAAAGATGATTGAATAGATGTTTAAAGCATCTGACTAGAAAAGCAAAACCTGTCTTCAAAGAAAAGGCACTTAGGGTAATTGAGTTCCTTAACAGCAGAAATGAAAATGAAGTTACAATGTTCCAACAAAAAATAATCGTATTTCTATGAAACTATAATCAAATAAAAACATCCCTGGAAAAAGGGAAGGAAGAAACTTTGCCACCAGCACACAATCGCTGAAAAATAATTACAAGGCATATGTTTAAAACAAGGAGGTGATCCCAGATGGAAGGATTGAAATGACGGGAATAAAAATGGCAAATATGTGGGCGATTCTAAGTAAACATCTACTGCATGAAATAGCAGCAACAACCATCAAACTTCTGATGTTAAGAAAAAGAAAGAACTAAAGTTCATGGAAATAACAGATAAGCCAAGGTGGGTGCAATTGCTGTTACAAGTACTAAAGGCTCTGTTTTCCTGGAAGTGGAAGAGGATACAGGTTTACTTTTCACTCGGGTTGCTCATATCACAGATTAAGCCACAGAAACAACACCAAAATCTCAATAGTTTTAAACGTTGTGAGTTAAGTAGTTTTCTTTTTCTTCTTTCTTTTCTTTTCTTTTCTTTTTTTTCTTTTTTTTTTTTTTTGGACAGGCAGAGTTAGACAGTGAGAGAGTGAAATAGAGAGAAAGGTCTTCCTTCCGTTGGTTCACCCCACAAATGGCTGCTACGGCCGGCGCTGGGCTGATATGAAGCCAGAAGCCAGGTGCTTCCTCCTGGTCTCCCATGCGGGTGCAGGGCCCAAGCACTTGGGCCATCCTCTACTGCCCTGCTGGGCCAGAGCAGAGAGCTGGACTGGAAGAGGAGCAACCGGGACAGAATCCGGCACGTGAGTTAAGTAGTTTTCTTTAGCAAAGCATGTTCCAAGTTTGGGTGACTCTCCATAATACTGGGGGGAAAAGATAAAATTGAAATTAGCAAATAAATGACAAAGAATATTGTTTAAGTTAATTGAGTATAGGTTCAACAGCTGTGCTATCCAATATAGTTGCCACTACCTTCACCTGATTTTGTAACTTTAAATTAATAAATAAAGTCTTAGATTCAGTTTTTCAGGCACACCAGCCACATTTTAAGTGCTCAAAAAACCACATGTGTTTAGTGATTACCATGCTGTGCTGTGCATTTCTAGTATTTACTTCTACAATATAGTAAAATATTCTCTGGAACTTTTAGATAAAATATTTCTGAAGTCCATACTATAAGCAATGTTAAAATTAATATATAGTCTGTCTTTACTTTCCAAATCAGATTATAGTTATTTAAAAGTGAAATCTTTATACCTTCCCATTGCTAAATACTCTTATTACAATTGTTTAATTATAGCTTTGAAAGATTTGAACAGACACTTCAGGGAAGAAGGCAAACAAGTCATTAGCAAGCTTATAAGAATGTGCACATCATTAATCACAGGGAAGTTGTCTAAAGTACATGACAGCTTTCAGACAGTGACACTCCCAGGTACAGGGTGGTACAGGGTGAAATTTGCTTCAGGAAGCTCAGAAGGAAAACAGGATGTGGCTTCTCATGTGCCCCTTAAGGCAAGTCCTGGGGACCAGATGCACTGGTATAAGTGGTTCAGCTGCCCCATTGCACTAAGAGGGTAGATACTCCTTATTGTCTTCAGAGGGCGTTTCTAGAAACCGATGTTGCCAATTACCTGTACCCCCCAGGTGCTCTTTCCTGGACCCACCAATATGGAGTTTAGTGCTCTAGGCATTTAGTGCCCTCAAGCCTTCAACACTCTGGACTATGCAGCTCTGAAAGGATTCAGCTTTTCCAGCTCCACGATTTTAGGTTGGGAATCCTTGGCAACCACTGACAGAAGCAACACTGTATAGCACCTGTGGAGGTTCAGGCACCAGGATGCAGGCCATGTTTACTGCACCAAATGTTCTAAGTGTGCTCGGGGTTTATTTTAATCAGGGGGGGTAAGACATGAAATCAAGTAAATAGTGTTCTGAAGAGGATGTTTTCAGATCCACAGAAATCTAGAACCAGAGGTCCTGGCTCAGCATACAAGAGAGCCAAGTAGGGAGCACCAGCATTGGTCAGATGATAGAGAAAGGAGAAAAATGTGGGCAAGAGCTGTAATCGCGGAGCCGCTGTGGCTGCACAGTGCGTTAAGTCGATACCTAGCACACCAGCGTCCCATACTGAATTGCTGGTTAGTGCGGTGCCCTGGCTGCTCGGCTTCGGATCCAATTTCCTGTTACTGCTCCTGAGAACGCAGTGGAAGACACCCATGTGGGAGCCTTGGACGGAGTTCCTGGCTTCTCGCTTCAGCCTGGATCACCCCTGGCAGTTGAGGCCATTTAAGGAATGAACCAGCAGATGGAAGGTTGTCTTCCCCCAACCTTGCCTTTCTTTCTCTCTACCCCC